GCATATATAGGCACTCTATAATACGTAATAAAATGTCAAAATTTCTCCCGAAATAGGGAAGGTAATCGCAGAGAAGAGATGGCAAGTGTCAAGAAGAAAACATTAAATTTTCTTGTTCTTTTATATATGTTTATTATTATGCATTACTCGAAATACACCTACATTTTTATGAAGATGGACTTTTTTTTTGTGGCCAACCAAAAGTTAAACCTTGCTTGTTTGGCCCAAGTTAGTCGGAGTTTGACACCCTTGATTTAAATGGACGAATCCTAGTGTTATCTACTTCAGAGTTTCCTCTATTTCCTCCCCCCAAAAGGTAAATGAAGTGATCTAATATTATTTATGAAAATTATTTTCATGGTTTATGCGTGCTGAATTTATGTGTAGTAGTTTTTCACACAGTAAATTTTAAAAATCTGATCCAAAATAACTAGAATGCATCCAAGCTGCGTTTAATTTGTAACTGTAACTAATGTTTACAATTTTTTGAGAAAATCTTTCAAGACTAGATTCATTACATTTTTTTAAAAAAAGAAAACATTTTTAAATAAAGGGTAAATTGAATTTTTAAAATTTATTTTGAAATACTTTCCTTGGAATATACATATTTCTTATGTACTGTTTTATTTTATGTAATATTAAGTTTCCCTGCATAATTTTCAGGCTGATTGATTGCTTTATTAACACCGCACTTCGAAGTAATGCAAAGTTACTAAAGTGTTCAAAGTTTAAGTTTATTATTTAAAACTTTTGACACATTTTAACAGTGTATCTTATACGATGTAAGCAAAATATACTAACTTATATCTTGCAAAATAACGGATCCTGATTATATCGAAGTCATGGACCTATTGGCTGATTTTAAAATCACGAATTTTATCCAGAAAATTATTTTCCTCGATGTCTTTATGTAGTATGATAAAGAAGAATATAGATTTAAGTAACTATTTTCGTTTAAATTTACAAATCACAATCTAAATAATTAAAAAATCCAATCAATTTTACAATTTAGAGTTATAGTTTTAATTCATTGTGGATGAAAAGAGAAAACTTTTACGTCTATTACAGTGATATTAATTTGAAAGGGGAAATATAAATTACTTTAGTAACTTTGTGAAAAAATCTCCTTAAGTTTTAGGGTTTTCTTAATGGCAGTGTTAATTGAATCATATTCCAAAGTAAATCGCATAGTTATCAAAAGCATGTGTAGCTTCAAACGCAAGGTTCATTTACAGATAAAAACAGCATAAAGTGTGAAATTAAAAAAAAATACATGGTATTTTGGTGGAAACATTTTAAGTATATCAAGGAATAATTCTCGATTGAAAAATATCCCTCTCAACGAAGTTTAATTTTGTATTCTTTAATATCTGTTTTTCCCTACACCTTTCTCCTTTTTGCGTTTTGTCTCACCCGTTTCTAGAAGGGGCGGAATTTCCAATAGAACTGAAGTTGAATGATTGCAATTCACCGAAGAGGATCGTGCAGAATTGGAGGCACTTCTGAATTTTAAATCTAATTTATTCTTAAAGTTTTCACGTGACATATGATACATAGCTTCAGAAATTGAGATGTTTTAAACATCTCACTGTAAATTGAAGCTCTCAGATAAAATTGTCGAAAATGTAGGTCTTATTACGTTACTAAAACGCAACTGAAATTCTCTGATTATGTTAAAATAAGTAAAAATACCTTTTTTGCGAATAATAGTATAAAATGTACAATTAATTACATGTCCTTCCATAAATGTATCAAAATTAGGATCACAAATATGTGAAAAAAGAATAAAATAAGTTTGAATTGAAGAAAAGTCAAACTTTTTCTCAAAGAGATTTAATAGGCTTTCTAGCATGGATGGTAGATAGAGGCAAACGACAAATTTGACCAAACCGCGTTAAATATGCTTTTAGATATTCGTCAACAACGAAGTGTATCGAGTAAATAATTTGTACAACTGCAATCTGTTTGTGATTTAGATGTCAGAGGATAGGAGATTTGAAGGTAAGTTGTGGTTGAAGACAAATAAGTGGGTAAGTCGTACTTCCATTTTATGAATACATTGCAAAAATGGCTTTGTAAAGTGGGATAACAAGCGCCTACATCCGTCGTTGTTAGTTTTTGAAGTGACCCCCAATGACATACAAATATATGCGTTTGTTGGAGCTCGTTATATGAATTACTGTTGACCAATTAATTACGTCAACCACGATTTGCAACAGTTATCTCTGATTCCTCAGCTTCATGGTGAAGTTGTCCCTCATGTTGAATGTTCTGCAAAAAGATTGCTGTCTTCGGCAATCATTACGTTTTAGCAATAGTTAACAAATAGTAAGTAGAATAACAAACAGCAATTGATAAGAAATAGTTTTGTCCCTTTTCACTTTCCATTGGTCGTCAAAGCTATCCCTGTACTTCTGACTATGGTGATAGATGAAATCCAAAGTACCCGCTTTGCATCCTAAATCTTTGTGTGATATTAAAGATGCCGTGCCAATAAAGAATCAGCAGATTCCTCTTCGCATGGTACGTGTAGCGCTATCCACTATCCGTTGCATGTTAAATGTTATCCCATATGATGGCGGACACGCAGAAAATTCGCGAAACAAAAAAAAATGGTTTTGATGCATCTCTGTCTTTCCTTTTATATTAATCTCGGAAAAACAGAGCCTCTTTTCATGTTAATGTTTCAATGACATTTAAAGTTTTTTACTGTGATGTTTACGTTTTAAATTGAAAAAAGTGTTTCGATTGAAAAATTTCAAAACTTCATCACCGTAACTGTTAAAGCTTGATTTTTCAGTGCATGACTTATAATACTTGCATTCGAATTTTTATTTCACTCCCTTAAACATAACACTCAGTAGGGGTCAATATATTAGCAAAGTGTATTTATAATCATACTGTAGATTCTCCAAAGTTTGTGGCGCAGCATAGTTAAGTTGCCTCTTATTCAAGCAAACCTCAAAATCAACTCTCTAAGTTGTAGAATTTTTCTGAAATTATAGCTATTTACTTAGTAATTAGTATTATATGAGATTACAATTTGCTTAGCTGACTACTTAGCCCTTGTGTTTACTTATTAGTATAGCTCATTTCTTACTATTTAACCTAAAAATAGTTTTTATAAAATGAGATTCGCTGGAGGAAATTTTGTAAGATATTATTATAGTATATGCCTTCCTCCCTCTGTTCCTAGTCATAAATTAATTTTGTGATCATATATGTAAAGAGCTTGAAATGTTTGACGTATAAGGGCTTGATGTTATTTGTTAGGCTTGAAATATTTAAAGTATACTGATCTGTTAATTGACTGCTATTATTTTTAAATGCAATTCTTTTCTTAAATTTTACACTCACTTCATTTAATTCTCAGAAATAAAATCATTCTTATAAATATTTAAAAAGTAATAAATCTTTAAAAAATAATTTACGTAGTTTTAAATAAATTAAAAGAACACACACATATTTGTGTGTTCGGAAAAAAAAGTGCAGCTTCATTAACGTTTACAAGCTATAGTCATGACTTCCAAACCATAAACCTGCATGTTTTTTTATTCTTGAAATAAACTTGCCGAGTTTACTAAAATCATTATAGGTTAAAGAAACGAATGGAAATATATTTTCAGCCGCACCTATTCAATTAATGATTTTATTAAAAAAAATAATTATTTCCCCAAAGAGTTCCGGAATGCTCGAATTTCCAATTCTTCCCATTAAACGGAAGGAACCGAGTTCAGGAAGTTCGATACTATTTCCTTCCGAAGAGTTTTAGTTCACTATTCGTATCGATTTGTTATTCCCTCGATGTCTTTGAATCGTTATCGAATAATTGCTTTGCGTTTAGAAGTTCATTTCGAACATTGATAACCGATAATTAATGATAGATTTGTGAAATAATTATGACTTGCAAAGTTCTCTTGTAGGATTGCAGGAATGTAGTGCAAGTACTAATTTGTCTATGTATAACGTACTTTTAATGGTTCAACAATAGAAATTCATACACAAAATTTAACTTATACATATAGAAATAATTATCAGTAATAAAATCGCTTCTTTGATGGATTATCTTTAGTTTCAGCGAATGTTAAATACAGTAGCAGACTTAGAATATTCAAATTAATATAGTTTTCAGCCAATTCGGTGTTATTCTTTAAATGGGTCTTAATGCTGTTAAGATATTTCCAGGGTTTCCTAACATTTATTTAAATATTATTTATGTAGAATAATATCAAGAATTAACACACTGATAAGTGTTGTGGTATTACGGTGTTGTAGTGTTTTGCGAAATATATCATCCAATTTCCAACATACATTAAGATCTTTCTCTGATTACAATCTAAATTTAAAGTACTAGAAAAGTATTTTTCAAAAAGTAGTTTTGCCACCCACACAAATCTATGTGAGAGTATATCCAATATATTCATGTAAATACATTGTTTTCTTTTATTGCAGGAATTTTAAATCGTAGAAAAATATCACAACAGGTATTTAGATTTCAATAAATACGCTGAAATGAAAAATCTATTTAAATTACAATATCTTTCCGTTTAATTAGGAATTTAAATTAAGAATAAGAGATTAATGATAAGTATTTTTATATAATTTCTTTTAGAGACAGTTTTATTCCGGTCTAAAAACTATAAAAATTCTACTTATATTATTCTGAACTATATGCTATGTTTTGTTCTTAAGCATTTCATATCAGGTCATAAACAAAATATAATTTTTGTTACATGTTTAAGTATATTTTCACTTTCTAATATTAGTTCACACTCTCCTTATGTATATCTATCTTGTTCAAATTTTCAATCGTTAATCAAGTACTCTTTATTCATCCACTCAAGTTCAAAAACAATTTTTTAAACTTGTAGTGGCTGACACTTGATGTTAATACAGTTTTTCAAATCTTAATTCATTAATTAAATTTAATTAATGAATAAATATTAACAATTAAAAATAATAGTTCAACATCAAATATAGGAAGAAAAACCGCTTGTTGTGTCCCTGTAGTGCAATGGATAGCAATTTGGACTTTGAATCCAAAGATCCTTCGAATTCCACCTGGGATGGCCTAATTTCTGAGAATGTGCTTTCTTTTTTCCTGTACTATTTTACTAGAATAATTAAATTTAATGAATGAATAAATACTAACAAACAAAAATAATAGTCCAGCACCCTATATAGAAAGGAAAATTGCTATCTATTTTTCCGCTTAATATTGTGATTCTGTCATATGTATATACATATTTATATTAATTGCAACTGTTTAATAGAAAGTAGCTAAAATCAAATTTTTCTTAGTTGACCTAAGTAGGAATTGTAGGAGTGGTCATGAGCTAGATCTGGTAGGTGGCATTGCTGAGCCTCGGGATCCAAGCCTAGTGCCACTGAAGATCTATCGATACTTAGTCTTTCCGTTGGCTCGGTGAGCTCAAGAGTCGACCTCGTTGCTTGATAGAGGAAGAACATTACGAGATCCTTCACCAATATCCCTCGTGTTGCTTCAGAATTTGACGTACATCGAAATTAAATCCATTGACTAAGAAGATTTATTAATTCCTTACTAATAGTTTAAAGCTACATGAAGTCTATTAGTGAAGGAGCAATAATTTTGAATCTCAGTCCCCTGATGAAATTGACTGGTGTTCCACAGTAACACTCCACGCCAACATGAGGACTACGAGCCTCTACAGTTTCTACATCCAGATCGTGGCTTTAATTTCAAAAGAAAACTTAATCAAGGGGAAACCAGATTTTACCTATTTTACTGATTTATTTACAAAACTTAATGAGGTTAATTTGCACAGTTACAAGGTGACAGCATATATTTTATTAAAACAGAGACCATCATTTCAGCTTTTCTTCGCAGAACAAAGCTAAAGCAGTGTAATATTGTACATCGCGAATTTTCCCAGTTTCTCATTTTGTCGCAAACAATCCTACCAGGAAGATGACGTTTTAACCTATGTTCAACATTTAAAGGCCCTCTATTCAGATTTTAAAACCAGATTTGTGTGTGTGACTTAGATTATGGTTATACCACAGTAGATTAAGAAATTATATGGTCACATTGAAAAAAAACTAAATGTCATATACAATCGGAATAGGCAATAATGAAGATCTTAAAGTTTAGAAACGGATGTCAGCAATTTTACCTACATTTATCCTGGTTTTTATCCTGTTCCCTATATATTATTCCTGTTATTTACCTTGAATTATGGAATACCGAGAAATACTTTTTAATTGTTTTTTACTGATGAGCAAAAGTTTCATCACGGTTGACAATCTCAAAAAAAATGAGAGAGAGGGAGAGACTAGACATTATTAATTGAGAAAATTTAGCGTTAAGCTCGATAAGATTGATGCCTAATGTTGAAAATTTGTTATTGAACCGTCAGATTCATCCCTTCCATTAAATACATTTTTCTTTTATGCTCAGTTATTTTATGCATTACTAAAAAGATATTTAAAATTAATTAACATGTGATTCTTAAGTTTCAAACACTATACATCCCTACAGTTAAAAATTTAAATCTTTTAAAGTAAGCAGCTCTATACCAGCTGTCAAAAAGACAGTTGAGTTAAAATGTGTAAAAATTTAATATCAGGTAATCAAGGGTCTACCCAAAGACGAAAAACATGTCAAGGGGTCTATGAGACAAAAAGTTTGGGAACCTCTGGCTTACAAGTTGAATCTTCGATGGTTACAGGACCGGAATTAAAGACTCGAAAACACTGACCATGACTTTGCGACCATGGCCTTAACTATGAGAGAAAGAAAAGTATTTCTTTTTAATAAGAATTTAGAGGATGAAATGATAAGACGTATAATTCTGTATGATTTCTTACAAAGCTAAGTTTACTGAATGAGATGATCACTTCATTTGTAACGCATTCACATAGTGATGTTATCTGGAAATTTGCCGCCTCACTTAGTATGGTGTTATGACACTTGGCTTGTAATTGAGTAGGTTTGGGTTCGAATCCCGAGTAAGGCATGGATGTATCTTCGGGAAAAGAAATCGGAATTTCGCCTGCAATGAATTCCCGTCTCGAAAGGAAAGTAGCGTATCTCTTCTGTCCTTTGCTGGAATCATCGTTTGTAATAATAGTCTGTATTCTTCTGTGATTGCGTTATATGTTTCTGTTCATCTATCCTACGTCTTTCGTATGTATCCCAGTAATAAACGCACGACAACAACAATACAATATCTGGAAATTTTTCTCATTTGATTCTTAAAGTACTTTTCTCATTCAAGTTATAAATTTAGTTTCTTTATACAGATTTCCATCATCATATAATGATTTCTTAAGTATATATTTAAGTAAAGTTTTTCCTTATGTATTAGTTGGAAAGGACATTTCATTTTATATTAATTAGGAAACAAAATTGTAAAGGTTGTTTTCCACTCTTTTTTAAAACTGAATTTTATAAAATCATTCATGGTCATTTTAAGTTTCTGGAAATTATTTGAAATCTGCTAATTCTTTATAGCGTCATAATCGTATGTATGCTATAGAATTTTTGTAAGGTATTTCAAATATTTTATCCTAAATAAATTTATGCATTAAAAAGCGTTCCTTTTATTGAAAAGTTTACTTAACGGAAGTGACCCAAGAGAACACTTGCTAATGATAGTACTATGCAAAATATGAATTTTAAGATAAAGGAATTTAACAGTAGATAGAACAGCTTAATTTCAAATACTTCTATTAAAGTAATTTCAGAACCCGTTTGTGAACAAATCGCTGTTCCATGGCTAATTTAGCAGATCGTGCTGGCAGTTTTAGGAAAGCATGCAGGAAAATTCGACAAGCGCATTGTCGATTGCTAATTTAGTTCAAAAGCATGACTTTATTCAAAATGCAATGGAATTGTTTAAACTTTAAAAAATGCGAGTTTTCAAACGACTTTCCTTATGCATAGATTGTATGCATGCAATTGGTGTGTAAAAGATTTCGATGAGAATATAATGGTTGTAATTATGAACAATGAATTGTACATTTTCAATGTCTGTTTTTATTCTTCTGATAAGTAGTCTGGAGGATTTAAAAGTACGCTAAGTTCTCTCTCTTTAGTCTTCCTAATGATTTAAAGTACTATTAACTTATTTTAATGGCAACTCTACATGAAAAATGGAATTGTTATTATATCGCTTTATTATCGTATATTTTCATTTCAAAACTGTTCATCTTAAGGATATTTAAAATCATTTGAAAAATATGTTTAAGTTATGTTATTTGTTTCTGTTTTGAATTGTTAATTTCTAACCGTAAGACAATTGCGACAGAAATAAATTCCATTTCATACGCATAGAAATAATTTAAAATTCTGTTAGTGAATAATTGTAACGGGATTTGAAATTTTTCTTTCTCTGCAAAAATATTTCTTTTTTACTGAAAGCATTACGTCATGTTCATTTTAAAAACAATTTCAAAGTAAGAAATAGTTAACATATATTATGCAATGCTATTAATATAATAATGATGCTAATAAATCATTTGGAAAAATTAATGAAAAAAATAATTTTCATTGCCATGTAAGCAGAATAAATATATAATTAATATTATACGAACGTTACATTCAACTTAAAAATTTATTCAAAAAGCTTTAAAAATTTGAACAACATATGTACAAAATATTATTGATTTTTTATAATGTACATTTTTGCATAAGATTAAAATTTGTCGCATAATTTAGAAACAAAAGCTCCTCGTTCAGTTTAAAAAATTATTTAATTACTGAAATTAAAATTAAATTTTAAAATACCTCGAGTTTCAAAAGTTTGCGATCCACAGATATTAAAGTTACTTTTTTACAATTGTGGATAATATATTAGCTTTTTCCATATAATTCATTATTCAAAGTGCTTTTCTAAGTCATTAACATAATTGAATTAAATAAGAATAATAAATTTATGTTTTACATAAATTTTTAAAATATGTATATTTTTTGAAAGTCTGCATAAATATGAAAACATATTTTGATTATTTTGAAGTGTTTGAAATGCAATTTTAAAAATTAACCTAATACTAAAACTGAATAATTTAAATATTCTGGAAATGTTTTTTTTTATAAATGCTTTTTTTAAAAAATAAAACATTTGCATACTTTAAATACCACTAATAAAAATGCAAAATGAATTTGAATTCTTAAATCCATTATAGATTACCAATGAGAGTGTTGTGGTTTCTTTATTAACAATTTTTCTCTCCAAAGCATAAATAATTAAATTCTAATGAAAAGAAGGAACACATTTGTGTATAATTTTTTCAGCAAAAAAAGCAGACGATTTTTTTTAAAGAACGATTCAGCAGAATAAGCATCCTATTTTATTCGTAATTGATGCTATAATATCCTATAGTACAATTTAAATGGCATAAGTTTTTGCAACTCGAAAGGAATTTTACATTATTCCTTTGAACAACGTTTTACTTATTCTGAAGAACTTTGCAAATTAAAAGTTACGAAGGCCAATTAAAGAGAAAGAGTGATTCTCTCTCTCTCTCTCTTTATGGGGCTTAATGTCTTTTTTCCCATCTTCAGAGTTGAAATAAATTGGCTGTTCTCTGGAGTGCCCCATTAACTTCGGTGACTAAATTTGCAGCATAAGAATGTCGTGCACTTTAGTGTTATTTTATTATTTTCTTTCAAGCATGATGTGTTCCTTATATTTAATATATGAATTTTATGTTTCATAAATTAAATACTTGTGATTTGTTAAAAAATGTTACAATAAATGAATTTATATTATTTAAAATGTATGAGCTTGTTATTAAGCTATCTTTTATGAACTAATTAACCTAATTAAAATACTATGTTGAGTTGAAATTTTACACAATTTAACTTTTCGCTTTTTTAGGAGTGTAAAAAATGACTGGGGATAAACAAAAGTGTTAATTAACTATAAATTAATTTTTCGTTTATGACAAATTTACTTAACAAATTTAACATAAATGAGAAAACAATAGTTTTTTTTAATTCAATTTTGGTTCAAATAAGTTTCATTGCTTTCTTTAAATTACACATTTGTTTTAAGAAAACTTCAATCTTAGACAATCATTTTTG